AGCAGGGGGAGTGGGAGAGGGAGAAGCAGGCTTCCCGCAGAGCAGGGAGCCCAATGTGGGACTCGATCCCAGGACCCTGGGATCATGACCTGAGCTGAAGGCAGCCGCTTAACCGACTGAGCCACCCAGGCGCCCACTTGAGAAGTTTTAAAACAGACTGATATCTAGGTTCCAAACCCAAAGGTACTGATTTAATTAATTGCTCAGGGGTGTGGCTTAGGCTTTAGAAGTTTAAAAAAACCCTTCAGGTGATTCTAATAGGCAGCAACTTGCGAATTTTAGTATGTTGTTTCCTTTTCCCTGTAAAATTAAAAGTATTGTAATGAGTGTTTGTGGGAAAACAGAAACTTAATCATTAGTAATAGAAACCATCATCTTCTCCTTAAAAGAATCTAGGTGTCATTTCAAGTGGAAGTTTATGTCTCTTATGACAGTAATCAGTTATAAAAACAATGGAAGACCAAAATATTCAAATAAAAATGCACCCGTTTTGTAACTGCTGCAGAGTGATGGTCTATTCAGTTGTCAATGATATTGATTGTTGAAACTCTTGGGAATATTTAACTTTGGAGGACTTTTTACTATCTGCTTCTGCGAAAAAGTAGAGTTCAGGAAGGAGGGTCCCCACGTACCTTGGCGTAGATACAGCTTTCGTTGAGTCTCTGCAGTGAACAGTTCTTGTCACAGAGAGGGCACATGAAGACTTCGGTGGCCTTGCAAATTTCTTGGCTTGAGAAACCAAAGAAGAAAAAGAAAGCATGAACCTCCACGTTTAAGAAGGTGCTTAACCCCTCTGGCTAATCCTGTGGGAAGCAGCAAGGCAGAGAGGAAAAGAAGAAATGGACACAGTGGGAGTGGTGAACAGGTAAGGAAGAATTTGTGTGGCTCCAACATAAATTTTTAGGATATTTGTGTAATAGAGATTTGTGTTTGCTTCTTTGTTTTTAGAAGTCTCTGCCAGGATACTGGAATGATAATAGGCCACACTTTATACTTACGAGGCACTTGTGGGGCTTTGTGGCAAACACAGTGACACAGGATTTCATGGCACTCAGGATAATCTTGTGAGGAATACCCGAGGGAGTTTTAACCAAGCTCACAGCTTGGAAGTGGCTGAGCTGAAATCAAAGCTGAATATTCTGATTTCTCAAGTCTATTGATCTTTCTCCTGGATCTCACTGCCTTCGAATCACCAGAATGAACAGCATCCATAATTCATATGACTTCATAACTCCCACTACAGTCAATGGGTGCATTATGTTCATTGGAAATTTGAGGGAGTTGGTTTTTTTGCGGTATCTTGACACACAGACATGACAGTTTTTATTTACTGAATATGTATTATATGTATATATATGTATTATATTCTCTATTAGAATTAAACTTTCTAATATTTGTCTCTTCAGTTTTATACCGACTACCTTTAAAGGTCTCAGCACCCATTATAGATGACTTTGTGACGCAAGTCGGATACCAATAACAATGTCTCAAAAGCTTCCCAGACTGAGAGTTCACAGCAACCTATTTTTAAAATGTCTTGTGCTTTTATCTGTCATAAGTGTCCCTTTCCCACTTAGTAGCCTCTAAATAAATTGTTTTTCATTAAATCTGCTTTGGAAATGTTGAAAGTAGTTTAAAGGCTTTTGAAAATATGTCTGGAAATGCAGCTGTTTAATAAATAATAATACAAGTTTAATCGGCAGTGTTTACAGCACGATTTACTGTTTTTAAAGATAGATATACTCAAATGAAGCAAAAAGACAATGTATATGTATATCAACTCTCACTCCAAAGTAGGAATACATAGTAAGTAATAACATCATATAGTAATACCGCACTTTAAGGTGGGCAAAGGTGGGTTCATGTCCATTAAGTCTGGTCCTCACTGCAATCTCCTGCAATGGTAATTATCTCCACAACTCAGAGGAAACTGATGTTTAATTTAAGTAATTTGCTCACGTCATACTGCTAACAAGAGGTACTTCCAGGAACCAGGTTTAGGTTTTTGTGATTCTAGGTCCAGTTCCCCATTAACTATAACATATCTAAAAGAGAAAGCTTTATTTCATATTAAAAGCAACTTTCCAGTGAAGGGAATTAAGAGTACACTTATCATGAAAAGCTCTGAGTAATGTATAGAACTGGTGAATCATTATATTGTATACATGACACTAACATTACACTGTATGTTAACTGTACTTGAATAAAAAAAAACCTCTGGCAAATAAAAAAAATAAAAGGAACTTTTCTATAAAACTAGTTTATTAATGCTGATGATAATCTTAAAGGTCTAATAAATACTATAATTCTCCTACTCTCACATACATCATCTTGCTAGTAATCAGGACATCTATATGAAGTAGAAGAAAAGCAAGTAAAACATTCATATTAAAAGACCAAAAGAAAAAGAAGATTATACCTCCTCTTAGTTATACCATTAATTTGTAGGAATAAGAATTAACACAGACCTTGAAGGAAATTTTGATTAAAATTTCATAATTCACTCTGTTTCAAGAATGACACAGTGTGTCCTGCACTGAAATCTCATACTAAAAAGTACTAGAGTCAGTTTATACCACATCATTTTTCCCACCTCCCACATGGTCAAACAAAAGCACAAATCTATCAAAGCACCATGTCTAGAATCCCAATCCATCAGACTGAGTCCTATTTTTTAATTCCAGAATTATTAAACTCATTTTCTATAAGTTGTTCAAAGTTCAACTTGATATGTAACACAAAAAATAAACAACTTGTGACAACATATTTTTTAGCCTGAATTAAGGAAGTGAATACTATCACAAATTTCTTTGACTTAAGTTAACCACTAGAGGGAGGGAGAGTGTCCAGCATGAATGTTTCTTCATTTCGTTTGCACAGCCTGATAATAGAAACCGCCACTTGAATTGTGGCTTTCTTTCATTTTATGTCTATTGTTAGATATACACATCAAGGGCTGATTCGAAGGAAATAATAATTACCACCAACATAAGATAATGGGAGAGGGAGCGATTTGTCTTTTTTGGGGGTGGCTGTCTGACCCAGGTCTTTATGTTTCCTGTGATCCTGTTAACATGACAAAGCACAGAAGAAGATGCTTGGTGATGTCTATTTTGAGGAAATGTGAAAATGTGAAAGTGGGTTTAAGGGAAGGCAGTATGAAAGCATGAGTAAAACATGATTTTAGAATCAGATATAATCATCGGGGAAAAGTAAATCAAATCACAAGATACTGCTCTATATCTGTTAGGATTGCTATTATGAAGCAAAGCAAAACAAAACAAACAACATGTGTTGGCAAAGATGTGGAGATTTGGGGACATTTGCACACTGTTGGTGTGACTATAAAATGGTGCAGCCACTATGGAAAACAATATGGAGGTCAAAAAATCAAAAATCAAAAATAGAACTACCATAAAATCCAGCAATCCCACTTCTGGGTATGTATCTAAAAGGACTGAAACTAGGATCTAGAAGAGATATCTGCACTCCCATGTTCATTGCAACATTATTCACAATAGCCAAGATATCAAAATGGCCCTGGTGCCCATCAAAAAATGAATAAAGAAAATGTCATATAAACACACAATAGAATATTCTTCATCCTTAAAAAAGAAGGAAACCCTAACATACGCAGCAATATGAATGAACCTGGAGGACACTATGCTAAGTAAAATAAGCCAGGCACAGGACAAATGATGCATGATTTCACATATATTCAGTATTTAAAACAGTCAAACTCATAGAAACAGAACAGAATCATGTTGCCAGAGGGTAAGGGAGGGGGAAATCGGGAGTTGCTGTTCAACAGGGATAAAGTTCCAGTTATACAATATGAATAAACTCTAGAGATCTGTTGTGTGACATTGTGCCTAGAGTTAACAATACTATAGTGTGCATTAAAAAAAATTTGTGAAGAGGGATAGGCGGAGCAAGATGGCGGAGGAGTAGGAGACCTGGATTTCGTCTCCTCTCAGGAATTCAGCTGGA